TACGGTACACATACATGTAGACAAAACACTCATACACATGAAATAAATAAACCTTTAAAAATGATTCTACAGGTAGCTGGAGAGATGGCTCAGTGGTTAGGAGCACGGTCTGCTCTTCCCAAGGACCCAGGTTCAATTCCCAGCACCCACATGGCAGCTCACAACTGTCTATACCGACAATTCTAAGGGATCTGACACCTTCACACTAATGCACATAAAATAAAATTAAATTATTTTTAAAAAGATTCTACAGGATAACATCAATGTTAAGTCCACCAAATGTACATATCTAAACTATAACTAGGAATTTGACTCTAGTCAGTGTCTACAATCTGGTCTACAGAAAATGGAACTTTTGGAAAGCAAAAGGAATGAAGAGAAACATTCTTTAAATATGCAAATGGCAGCTGATCTGAGATGTATGATTTGTTAGAATAGAGAAAGGAATTAGAGCAGTAAAGAAACAGCATCAACACCCTACAGAAACGTCTTTAAAAACACAGCCGCTCTGTTGGAGGTGGAGGGCACTTGCCTAGCAGGCACAAAACCCCAGGTTCCCTTCCCCTGAGCCACATAAAACTGGGTGTGGGGATGTTCACCCTAGGCCCACAGCACAGGAAGTAGAGGAGGGGGAGCAAGAAGGTTAAGGTCCTCCTCGGCTACACAGTGGTTTCTAGGCCTGCTTAGGATACGTGAGACTATGTCTTTAAGAAAAGAAAAAAAAGCTGGGCACTGTAGTGCATGCCTGTAATCCTAGCACTCTGGGAGACAGAGGCAGGAGGATCTCTGTGAGTTCAAAGCCAGCCTGGTCTACAAAGTGAGTCCAGAACGGCCAAGGGTACACAGAGAGACATTGTCTTGAAAAAAAAAAAAAAACCCGAAACCAAAAAGAAAGAAGAAAAGGACACAGTGGAGAAGCTAAACAGAATATATAACACGGAAAGTAAGGAGAGAAGGCACACTCTCTGCTTTGCAGCAACACCATGAACAAGATAATCTCGCGATGAAAGAATTCATGGCAGCCAAGGGTCAGGACAGTAATTACCGGCCAATTACTGAAAACACAGGGAAGCAGGCTACAGAACAATAAAAGCGTCCTGGGTGTTCCACACAGTGTCAGCAGAAACCCAGCCTGAACTAGCTGATGAGTTTGTATAGAAATATCTTCTTATTGCTGAGTCTCATACATACTAACAGTTTACCTCCTGAAGGAAATGTTTGCATACTGTAATTTTTATGATTTATTTGGAAAATATCTTAAAGAGTACAAGGAGTTCAATAAAGAGTTTACCAAAAAAGGGGATAGCATCAGAAAAACGAGAGCAATTAAAAAAATGTTCATGGAGAGCCCTTGGCCAGCATGTGCCAATCTCTAGCACTGGCATGAAGAAAGAAAAGAGTAGGGGCAGTGGCACCTTTAATCCCAGCACTAGGGAAGCAGAGGCAGGTGGATCACTGTGAGTTCAAGGCCAGCCTGGTCTATAAAGCAAGTCCAGGACAGCCAAGGTTACACGGAGAAACCCTGTCTTGAAAAACCATAAATAAATAAGTGAATAAACAAATAAATACATAAGAAAAGAAAATAGGCCGAAAGCTCACACCTATTGAAAGAAAATAGAGAGCCTAAGGACTGTACAGTATTTGTTTAGCTTCTATGAATCCTGGGTTTTATTTCAGCATGATGGGAGGAAAAATAAATGTATAAACAAATGTAACAAGTCCAAAGAAATAAATGAAGGTAAAATTAAAACTTTCATTTTTATTATCTTTCTAAATTTTTTTTTTTTTTTTGGTTTGTTTTTCCAGACAGGGTTTCTCTGTGTAGTCCTGGCTGTCCTGGAACTCATTCTGTAGACCAGGCTGGCCTCGAACTCACAGAGATCCACCTGCCTCTGCATCCCAAATGCTGGGACACTGCCACCCAGTTTCAATTTTTAAAAAATCTCTTTTAATGTTACTGGTCTAAATGCATCAGTTCAAAGACAGGTCAATTCTGAGTCATAAAGCACATCTCAATAATTATTTGAAAACAGAAATCAAGAGCCAGGCATAGTGGGGCACGCCTTGAGTCCCAGCACCAGGGGGGCCGAGGCAGGCAGAACTCTGTGAGTTTGAGGCCAACCTGGTCTACAAAGTGAGTCCAGGACAGCCAGAGCTGTTAGATAGTGAAACCCTGTCTTGAAAAACAGAAAAACAAACAAACAAATAGAAATCCTGTGATGTCTCTTACTAGACCAAATTTCGGAAATGTAACTGGAAAATCCACAAATTGGGGAGATTAAAGAGCAAACTTTCAGATATACACAAAACTAAAGAAATTTAAAGTGTTTTGAACCAAATGAAAATAAAGACACAATTTATCACAATTGGATGCAGCAAAATCAGTGTTCAGAAGAAAATTTAGTGCCTATACACTGTGGTGGCTGAGCTGGGAAGACAAGAAGTTCAGGGTAATCTTGGGCTACACAGCAAGACCCTGTCTGAACACACACACACACACACTAAAACAAACATTCAGGAACTAGGAAGATCCAGAGTCCAAGGACAGCCTAGCTACGCAGTGAGACTGATAATAGTCTGAGCTAGATGGGACCTTGTCTGAACAACAAGAAAACAAAACAAGCAAACAAACAACAAATTCACCAATTAAACAGAAAAATGAGAGCAATTAAATAAAAGTAAGCTGGAAAAAATGAATAATAAAAAAGTGCAGAGTAGAAATCAATAAGGCCGAATTCTATCTCGTGTGTGTGTGTGTGTGTGTGTGTGTGTGTGTGTGTGTGTGTGTGTATGTGTGTGTGTGTATAGCATATGTATGGTCAGAGGACACCTTTGGGTGTGATTTTTCACCTTCTATGTTGTTTGAAGCCAGATCTCTTGTTTGGTACTGCACATGGGAATATCTAATCAACAAACTTCCAGGAATTCATTGCCTCTGTCTCCCATCTCAACACAGAAGCAGGAAGAGAGCAGATTCTACCATGCCTGGCTTTCTTTGGGAGTCCAGGGACTTGAACTCAGGCCCTTATGCTTGCTCAGCAAGCTCTTTACCCAGTAAGTCATTTCTCCTGCTTAGTTTTCCTTTCTCCCTGGTGCTAGCTGTTGAACTTAGGGCCTCACATAAGCTAGCCGAAAGCATGACCACTGAGCTAGATTCACGGCCTTTGCTTTGTTGGTGAGGCAGGGTGTGTCTTTTTTTTTTTTTTTTTTTTTTTTTACCCCAGATTGACAGAAGCCAATCTGAAAAGTCTAATCTGCATAATCTCAACTGTAGGACAGTCTGGAAGAGGCAAAACTGGAAAAGACGCTGTGCTTGGTGATTGACAGGGCTTGAGAAGGATGAGCGGCACAAGAGGGGGGATTGGCTGTGGTACTATAGTGGAGGAACTAGGTCACCACATTTGATCTGAGGGCACACTGTACTCTGTATATGCTGATGATGGAAAGCAGGTCTAGTAGGGGAGGCTGACAGAGCTGGAGTCCACGCATGTGCGAGGGTGGAGATTCTAGGGGAGTTCCTTCTTCCCAAGTGTGTTATGAACCTAAACCTGCTCTAAATTCATCCGGAAGGTGGACGGGCTAAGGACGCAGTTCAGCGGCAGAGTGTGTGCCGAGCCTGGGTGAGGCTCTGGGTGTCCAAGATGTCAAACCCAAGGCTTCCAGAAGAGCGGGACGCTGACCCCCTCCCCAGCTTAGGTCAAGTACTTACCAGTTTGGAGTTGTGTTTACTCTGAAAATGTTTTAGTATAAATAAAATTATTGAGCCAGGTGCAGTAGTGCACACCTGTAATCCCAGCTTTCAGGAGGCAGAGGCAGGTGGATTGCAAGCCTGGTCTACAAAGCAAGTCCAGGAGAGCCAAGGCTACACAGAGAAACCCTGTCTCGAAAAACCAATATATATATATATTCAATATACATGTTGATATATATATCTTAAAAGTCCTTTTCTGGAGGCTGGAGAGATGGCTCAGTGGTTAAGAGTACTTGCTGCTCTTGCAAAAGACCTGCGTTCAGTTCCCATCAGCCCCCAGCACCCGCATGGTGGTTCATAGCCATCAGTAATTCCATTTCCAGGAAATCCAAGTCCTCTTCTGACGTCCTCAGGCACCAGGCATGTGGTGCACATACATGTAGGCAAAATACTCATAAACATAAAAATAAATCTTAAAAGAATTTTTTTTCTGAGTCAGGGTTTGACTGTGTAACCTTGGCTGTCCTGGAACTCACTCTGTAGACCAGGCTGACCTCGAACTCACAGAGATTCACCTGCCTCTGCCTCCCTGAATGCTAGGATTAAAGACATGCACCACCCCCTCCCAGCTTAAAAATAGTTTTTTTTAAAAGTCCTTTAATCATCTGGCTCTTGGAAAAGTTATCATGCAACCTACAGCTGATGCTAATCTGCTTGATTGACGCTCTGCCCTTGCTAGAACCTTCCATTCCCTCTAGTGCCTTCTAAGGCTGTGGCATCAAGCATAGGATGCCTGACTGCCTCTCCCTTAGGGAAGACTGTTGTGTGAATGAGACACTCTCTGTCCCACACAGGAGAGCCTTATAGAGATACTCAGGTCTCAAAAAAAAATCTAGTTTTTCCCAACCTATAAAGTACAGAGCTGGCCGCCTGCCTCTCTCTGTAACACCCCAACCTTGTATTTCTTTGCCAGCTGTCATGTAGCAGCCACCCTCCGAAGGTTTTAGGGAAAGCACTGCCCAGAATATGAACTCATTTTCTGGTAACACTGATCTTATTAGCTCTTTGACAAGAGGAAGCAGAAGCCAAGAGGAATTGAAACAATCCACTTTTCATTTATCTAAAGACATATGAGGAACCGGCCCCGGGGGAAACTGCCTGAAATGGGACTAAAGAGCAAAGGCTGGTGGGGCATTCAGAGAAGGGTTGAGGGAGGGAGAAAGTGGGGGCGGGGTGGCTATCTAGTGACCCAACACCATCTTCACCACTGCTCCCAGGTTCCCTTCTCCTGGCTCCCGACAGAACTTACTTGAAGGTGGACGATTTCACGGTCTGACTCCATCTTGCTGCCTCGGGCCACTTTCCACCCTCCGAGTGCCTGTAGTTTGCGTGGGCTCTTCAGCCGGGCAGCCTGTGCCTACAGCTCTTCTGGGGTGGGAGACAGTGCTGCTATTCATCCGCCGATGCGGGATGCTTGGCTTGGCCTCAGCCCCTGGGGGAGACACACATGTGTGCGAGTGTCTGCCCTGCATGTGGCCTTTGAGTGGCACCTCCAGTCCAGCCGGGCCATATGAGGTTACAGCGCCTGCTCTGAGGCAGTAGTCTCACTGCTGAAAAAGTAATTTAACGGGATGGACATTGGAAGAAGGAGAAAACAGGAAACAAGACAGGAGCCTACTACAGAGGGACTCTGAAAGACTCTACCCAGCAGTGTATCAAAGCAGATGCTGACTCATAACCAAACTTTGGTCAAAGTGCAGGGAATCTTAGGAAAGAAGGGGGAGTTAGTAAGACCTGGAGAGGACAGGAGGTCCACAAGTTGAGCAACAGAACCAAAATAGCTGGGCACAGGGGTCTTTTCTGAGACTGATACTCCAACCAAGGACCATACATGGAGATAACCTAAAACCCCTGCACAGATGTAGCCCATGGCAGCTCAGTCTCCAAGTGGGTTCCCTAGTAATGGGAACAGGGGCTGCCTCTGACATGAACTCAGTGGCTGGCTCTTTGATCACTTCCCCCTGAGGGGGGAGCAGCCTTAACAAGCCACAGAGGAAGACAATGCAAGCCAGTCCTGATGAGACCTGACAGGCTAGGGTCAGAGGGAAAGGGAGGAGATCTCCCCTATCAGTGGACTTGGAGAGAGGCATGGGAGGAGATGAAGGAAGGAGGGTAGGATTGGGGGGGAATGAGGGAAGGGGCTACAGCTGGGATACAAAGTGAATAAACTGTAATTAATATAAAAAATAAAAAAATTAATTTTAAAAAAGTAATTCTGCGTATCTCCCAGGACAATCTAAGAACTCTAAGAGGGTCTTCACACCCCCACTGGCTGCTCTGAGTAGGGTCCCTGCTCACCAGGCATGGCATGGCCTCAGCATACTCCCAAAATAAGTTTCAGGAGTTTCTCCCTTTCTCTCCCTTGTTTCTTCTGTCTGTGTCCTCCATTCCGAAGAGTTGGGGAGAGGAGGAAGTTGCTGACCCAGCAGGTAAGGAATACAGATTGACACCCTCAACTTCTCTCCTGATGTGAGGAGGAGGCCGAGATAGGAGAAGCAGGGACCGCTGTGCCTTCAAATCCTTTTCACGAAGCCAGTTGCATGCCCCCATCCTAAAAGAGCTACAATAGACAGACTTTTTTTTTTCCTTTTCTTTTCTTTCTTTCTTTTTTTTTGAAACTGATTGTTTTTCCTGTTTACCTTAGGATCTAAGACACTTCTGTCTTGTTCCTAGACCTGTTTTAGACCTGAACTGCTGTGGTGGGCGTGTGAAGGCGCCAGATGAGGGCTGCCAGGGAGAATTTCCATTCAGGGAAATGGGAGGTGGGAATGGGGCCGGGCAGAGTCATGTATTTTTTTTTTAAACTTGTTTATTTTTATATCATATGAAAGTGGTGCTTTGCTTCCATGCGTGATCTATGTCAGATCCCCTGGAACTGGAGCTACAGGCAGTTGTGAGCCGCCATGTGAGTGCTGGGAATTGAACCCTGGTGCTCTGGAAGAGCAGCCAGCGCTCTTAACCACTGAGCCATCTCTCCAGCCCCATAGTCGTGTGTTTTATTCTTACCACTGTCATATGTGAAGAGGAGAGAGAGAGGGGAGGGAAGGAGAGAGAAAGAGAAGAGATAGACAGAGCCAGTTTCATGACTTCTTTTACACGCCTAAGTCCCACTCTGTTACCGTGTGTGATTGAGTTAGAGGACACGTGAGCCTGATGACAAGTGATCAAGGTCACCCATCGTACCCTACACCCCACAATTATATCTTTGTCCTTCAGCTTTCTGTTGCTGTGACAAAGCACTTGGGGCAATCAATCAATCGTTGATTGGCAGGTTCAGAGATTCCAGTTCCTAGTTGGCAGGTCCTGGTCCCAGCATCGGCAGGGAGCAAATGGGAAAAGGGAGGGGAATGGGAGGGTTCTGGCACTCCCTCTAGGACAAGCCCCACAATGACCCAGCTTCTTCCCACTGGCTCCTAACTCCACTGCCTCCCAATAGCACCACGATGACCAAGCCTTCAGCACATGGGCCTTTGGGGCACATTTCACTACTCTGTGATTAGCATGATGCTGATTTAGCATGCAATGCTTACTCTTCATAATAATTCTGGAAATTAGTTTTCTTTTTTTTGTGGGGGGTGGATTTTGAGACAGGGTCTCTCTGTGTAGTCCTGACTATCTTAGAACTCACTCTGTACACCAGGCTGGCCCCGAACCCAGAAGCCTCTGCCTTCTGAGTGCTGGGATCGAAGGCATGCGTCACCACCATCCATATCAGTTTCCGTCCTTACCACGGTTATATGACAGAAGAAACAGAGGCATAGGAAGCCAACTGGTGGCTCATGGTTTACCCAAGGTTTGCCCCAGAAATCTGGATAGATAAGTCACACATTTGGTTTAAAGAGGAGAGACAACCACACTTCCTCTCCTTTCTTCTTTTCCTCATAATGCAGGCTGAGAAAGGGAAGCATGCCTTTTTTTTCTTTGGCTCCCTATCTGATGTGGTATTCTAGGATAATAACTCAAAGGAAGAGATTTAAAAATGTGAAAATCCTTTTTAGTAATAAAACCTATCCAAATATTGTCTTGACCCAGTGAAGTGGATGGATCGGTGGGTACCGGGTTCTACAGACAAGCATGACAAGCCAAATTACATCCCTGATATCTGCATAGGGGAGGAGAGAAGCAGCTCCTGTAAGCTGTGGTGTGTGTGTGTCTGTGTGTTTGTGTGTGTATGTTTATATATTATTTTTTTTTATAATGTGTTATTATAGAATAAATCACAACGTTAAAAAAAAAAACTTTCTAGAACTTTTTATTTGGGAGAACAGAAATAAAACATTAACCACTTCCTTTCCCTTTGCCTTCCTGTTGTAGAAATAGCCATTATCTTTTAACTACATAGATGTATCTGGCTGGACAGAAGGAAAACTGGAAGAAAATACAAAAAAGCACCTGAATATATTTCCAAAGAAACTTCCTCAGTAACGAGTACATTGGCTTTAAGAGGAAACAGCTGCAATTGGTTAGGAACCTGGTCAGGTTGCCAAGCTCACCCTGGATTTGAACTGTATCCTATCTCATAAGCATCAGCGGAGGTAAACATGAAGCAGGATTTGGAAACTGTTTTATCTCCTCCGTCACAGCGTCCGTCACAGCGTGACTCTGGACCAGGGGTCATCATACTTTTTTCTGTAAGAGGCTAGGAAGCAAATTCTTTTTTGCCTTTGTAGATCATGTGGGTTTTGTCACAACCCCTCAGCTCTGCTGTTATTGTGTAAACAGCAGCCATATGCAGTGTGTAAGTGGATGATGGCAGTAACAGTTCAATAAAACTTTATTAACAAAAACAGACGGCCAAAGGTTATAAGACCAAGACCAGGTGTGGCCCCACAAATTGTAGTCTGCTGAGCCCTATCCCAGAGCTAAAACAGAAACATCTTTCCCGTCTACTTTTCATGGGTGTGGCAATTGCTGAGCTCCTATGAGCTCACACTGTTAAGCTCACTCTTGGGGGGACATTCGCATTGGAAAGGAGGGTCCTGAGACGACTGTGCAGCAAATGTCACGAATGGAACCTCTGACATTTGGCTGCAGGGCCTGAACTTGCCCCTCGTGGGAAAGGTTTCATCTTTCTTTACCTTTAGGGTGATTTTTGTAAAGTTCAAAAAAGAGTTTTTAGGGAACTCTACCGGGGAATTTCTTTTTATTTTTATTTTTTATTTTAAGTACACACTTGAACTTACACCAACTCAAAGCAAGGAGGTGGGGGGGGTGCTTTCAGTATGGTTGTAAAGAGGCAGAAATACAGAAGTCAGAGGAAGAGGACAGTAAGGCCACCCTTTTGCCTGGCATGCTGGCACACACCGCTAGTCCCAGCCAGTCTGAGGCTCAGGTAGGAAGAGCACTTTTGAACTCAGGAGGTTTTAGCTTTTTGTTTTGTTTTGTTTTGTCTTGTTTTTCAAGACAAGGTTTCTCTGTGTAGCCCTTGGCTGTTCTGAACTCGCTTTGTAGACCAGGCTGGCCTCGAACTCACAGAGACCCACTGCTTTTAGCCTTTAAAAAATATGTAAAATTTAAAAATTCCAAAGATTTTGGTAGTCTCCTGAACTCCTGACCCACCCACTTCAATCACCCAAATTACAAATGTACTGCTATGCCTAGTTGTTCCTGGTTATTACTGCTTTTTTAATTAATTAAAATTTAGTGTATTTAGCTGCTGCTGCTGGTGGTGGCACACGCCTTTAATCCCATCACTTGGGAGGCAGAGGCAGGTGGAGCTCTGTGAGGTTGAGGCCAGCCTGGTCTATGAGTTCCAGGACAGCCAGGGCTACATAGAGAAACACTGTTTCAAAAAAAAAAAAGTTAGTGTATTTAACAGTTTTTTTGTTTGTTTGTTTTTTTTTGTTTTGTTTTTTGTTTTTTTTTAATGTGACACATACAATTGTAATCTAGCTGGGCATGGAGGCTCCAGTCTGTAATAGCAACTGAGAAGCTGAAACAGGAGGACCACGTGTTCAAGACCAGCCTATTATAGAAGGAGATCCTCTTTCAAAAAGTATTCTTTAAAAAGTATTTTAAAATTACTGTGGACTGAGGATGTAGCTCAGTAGCGGAACACTTGCCTAGCAGGTGAGCAACCCCGGTCCCCAATCCCACAGAAGGAAAAATTATGAATATTCCTGGGATAACATGCTCCAATACAAGCGCACACTGTACAACGTTCAAGTTAAGGCAAACGTATCTATTTCCTCCAATGTTTCTCCTTCCTGTGTAGGAAGAATGTCCTGAATGCTTCATCTTCTTTGAAATGTGCGTACACTTTATCACTGTGTATTAAGAGGT